ACGCTACCATGCTAACGCTCACGCTACCACGACGTCTCCACAGATAGGGGAGTAAGCTGAGGGGGGGGGGCAACATGCAGGTGAAAGGCTGGAATATTATAATGAGCTAGAGCTAATGACGTCAGAAACTACCCACTCCTGAAACCTCCTGATTTATCTCCTGGATTCAGACTGAGGCGGCCCACAAAAACATGAACGAGTCATTTATTTTCACACTTTGCCTGCTGATAGGCCCTCCACAGTCCCACATGTACATAATCACATGATTAAAAACTTGGTTTTGCATAATATGCCCCCTTTAAAGCTGCATCGAAACAATCAGAAGCTTGAACTTTCTACTCGGTGGAAGACTAAAACTTACAAGCGGGAATAAAAAAAACAATCAGGTAACAACGCTCTTCTGCTCCGCCCTCTGGAAGGCCCCCCCTCGCTTTCCCCTTCAGCTCCGGTCAGATTTACCGGCCTTTGCAGGACCTATTGATGCGAGAGAGCCTCGGAGTCAGTCGTTTGGCTGCCGGCCAGGGCAATAAAGGTTTGTTAACACAGCCAATCCATTTTTTTCCCGTCACGCGGGATGAATCACGGTCCTCCCGGTCCGGACACGGACGTTTTCATCTCCAGTTCTCCCACGTTTTCACAGTTTTTTATGACAGCGGAGCTACAAAACACCGGGGGAAAGGTGGAGGGAAAGGACCGAAAACGCTGAGTCAGCAAAAACTAAACTTAATAATAGTCATCTGCTTAAAAATGCGCCGAGCCCGAGAGAGGAAATCTGCAACGTTATCTGGGCTTCCCGGCTAAAAATACAGAGTGGGTGAAAGCACACGCTGGCCCTGTTTCTATTTTCACCTCCAAGCTTTACAGGCAGCGTGAACTAAAAAGAAAAGGAAAAAAAACAGAAAACAAAAGCAGCCCCGTTCCACCGGCAGCTCACCCTCACTCTGGTCCTTCACATCACCACTCCCGTTTCCTCTGACCTTTTCTTTTCCTCTTTTCAACCTATTTTATTTCTTTAAAAGTCTCAGATCCAAAAGACTTCAGAAACCGTGTGTATCAAATATGATACATTTGGCATTATAGGGTTAAGTGAGCCCATGTAATCCACAGTTTGAGGGTTTTATGAGTTAAGGATGAAGTTTTGCCATTTTAAGAGGATGCCGGCTCTGAGCAGCTGCCAGCTCCGCAATTAAAGGAGCCAACGCTTCTTATTCAGGCGGGATGAATACGTTTGCACCTTTTCAGGAGCCTGAGCACTTGCTTTTCTGAAATGTGAGAGCAGCCTGATCCGCCAGAGATTGGAGAGCCGTAATACCGCGAACACGAACCCAAAACCGCCACAAAAGAGTCTGCTCAGACCCGAGTACGTCTCATTTCAGCTTCTCTTTTCAGGCGTCAGGCAGAAAGAGCTCCGTCTCCTCAGGATGAGGAGGACCCGAGTGGGGAGTCTTTAGGGGAGCTCGTTTCTTAATGAGATGATGATAATTTGACCCCAAGCTGAGGGATCGAAGGGCCTTTTGCTTGATAAGTGAAAAATAAAATGTGAAGACTGATTGGAAACAGGCTGGAAATGCATAAATAGATAGATAGATAGATCCATTTTGAAAAGCACCTTTTTTATTTACTTAAATTGGATTAAAGTTAGCTATTCTTACATTTTGTAGCATATAACATTATACAAAATAGCTAGCTAGCTAGCTAGCTAGATAGATCCCTTTTGAA